TCTGAGGATGCACTTTGGGAAACACTGGGAAAGGAAGGCAACAGTCATTAATTCTCCCATGAGAATTAACAGGATTGGGAGGGAGGCGTCCCAGCTGGACATCCTGATTGTCGTCACTATTATGGAAGTACAGGGAGACCGAAGAATTTAAGAACATGGAAGTGGGAACAGAATTAACCCCTCAGCTGGAGATAGTGTTCCCACAGCCCTTCTCCCACACACACACACGATTTCTTTCTTAGCTAGTCACTGTCACATCTGAGAACAGCATGATGCTAATAGAAATCAAGTTGGGGTTTGCCCCTCCTGTGAGCAGGCTGATTTTATATCAAGGAAAGCTCTGTTCTTTGGGCACCGAAGCTCCTGGCAGCCATCCTATAATGAGTGTGTGCTTTGTCAGATTTGGTAAGAAAATATGGATTATCAGTTAAAAACAACAACAAAAAAACCCCCAAACCTCCAGCCTATTAGAACTAGGAGAAATCTTAGTGGTAAATTCTGTTTGATAGATTCTTCCCATGTGAAAACCATCATAGTCTGCCCCTTTTCTAGAAACAAATAATTGACAGATAGGTTCTTTACAGATTTTGGGATTGTAATCCCTTGCCCACTCAAAGGCAAGGGCCATCCAGGGCTTACTAGGACCCACCCAGTCTGTCCCTACTGCCATCTTCTTCCACAGGGAGTGGGCACCCCCAGCCATACCTGCAGGTTGTTATTTACTTCAGCTTCCTCCAGCTTGCTCTCCTTCCACCTGCCCCTTTTTAAGCTTAAATATGCATGTCTCCTTCCCCTCCAAGACAAAAGAAAACATCTTGGGATAGGTCAGAGGTAAAGATTCTTAATCCTGGCTATATATTAGACAATCAGCTGTCAACTTTATTTTATTTTTAAAGATTTATTTATTTATGCATACAAGAACTGGGGCCCAGGCTAGAGGTGCAGGAGGTGAGAAGATTCACCAGAGACAGCAAGGAGAACAGGCAGATTAACTGAAATACACTGCTGAGGGAGCAGCAGGGGAGACAGAAGAGGTCTGCTGCAGCTTGTGGGTAGCTCCCTGGCCGGCCAGGGATCAAATTCCTGCTGCAGAGGCTGCAGATAGCTTCACAATGCTGTGCTTAACCCCTGTGCCACCAGGGAGGCCCAGCTATCAGCTTTAAAAAGTAACACTCTTTTTGTTTAAAGATTTATTTATTTATTTATACAAGAACCAGGGTACAGACCAGATGTCCGGGGTGGGGGGGGGTGAGAGGATTCACCAGAGACAGAGCGGGGAACAGAACAGGCAGACAGATGAAATACACTGCTGAGGGGAGCAGTGGGCGGCAGGAGAGGTCTGCTGCGCTATATGGGACCCTCTCCGGCCAGCCAGGATCAAACCGGCACTGCAGAGGCTATGGACAACTTCACAGCATGGCGCTCAACCGCCTGCGCCACAAGGGGAGGCCCTAAAAAGTAGCACTCTTTGGGCCGCTTTCTCAGAGATTGTTTTAATTATTCTGAACATAAGACTTTTAAAAAACTCCTAGAAGATTCTAATAGACACTTAGGATTGAAAACCCAAGTTCGGGTAGTTGTTTGGTGTAACAGTACAAGTAGTACACCTGTCTCAAAGAAAATGGAGGCTGTAAAATTTGAACTGGAAATGGGTATTTTTAAATAATACCTTTGCCACTTAAGACCTGTTGTGCAACCATCCCAGGCTGGGTAGGTTCACCATTGGTTCTAACAGTTTAAAAGTGAATTTTGGAGCCTTTGGCATCATCTTCACAGGTTTTACTAGTCAGCAGGGGAAACAAGCCAGCAGGGAGACAGCAACTTAAGCCTCCATCCCCCAGGGTGATGCTGCCTTTTTATCCCCTCTCTCCCAGGCACAGGTGTGCACACTTGGCACATGCGCACACACCCATGCTCCAGTTGTCCACAATCAGGCACGCATGCCCCGACCTACTCACCCTCTGCATAAACATGATCAAGGCCAAACGTGATAGCCACAGGGGCCAGTGGTGCAAAATGCCTGATTAATTCATTTACCCTGCAAGTCCCAAACACAAGTCCCCACAGAATTCTCCTTCCTGTCTTTGTCCTTTTTTAAGCCTGTTTTCAGTTCCACACCAGCATTCAAAATGAAGCAAAACAACAAGAGCTTTTGTTTCTTTGCTTTAGGATTTCTGTGGTATTGTTGCCCACTCTGTCATGGCAGTCAAGTGTGACTTGAGCCTCCCCATGAACTCTGACACTCAGGTTGTGACGGAGTGACCTTGCTCACGTCGTTTAACCTCTGGGGTTCATCTTCCAGTGGAGCTGAGTTCAGAGCTCCAGAGCCCTGTGCGACTAGAGGACTCCAGCTGTCATGTGGGCTCACATGCTGGTTCCACGGACGACACATACAGTGGTCTTTGTTTTGTGGTCTGGGGAGGTGCAGTGTTAAGTTTTTAGGAGGGTGCTTGAAAGAAAAAAGTTTCCTTTTTGATCAGTTCCATTGGATAAACAGCTTTGAAGTCTGTCAGTTCATCCTTGAAAGAGAATAATTGCCAGGAGGAAAACCCTAATAATTCTTCTCCAAGCATTTTAAGTTCTTTATTTTAAGAGCCAAATGGAAATTAGATCTGGAAATAAAAAGCTAGTGATGGACAACTGATGGTCAACATTCAACTTAGCCTCTAGATTCCCATGTATTAGGCTCCATACAAATTTCTCCAATAAGTGTTTTGTCTTTTTTTTGGGGGGGGGTATGTTCTACAAGAATATTTTGTGACATAATGCTTGTTTTTCAGAACTTTTCTTGGCCTAAAATTTTGGATGGTGCATTGAAACCAAAAACGTTTAAAATTTCCAATTTTAATCTAAAACTGACTCTGAAGGACAAAAAATGAAAACTCAAGGCGTTGTTTCTGACTCTCTTGTTGGGTGCTGTAACTGGAGTTATAAGTAACTTAAACACCACTCAGAGTTCCTCTGGTCTCGTTGACCTCCCTTTTTCCTTTCTGTAATTACTGAATATGGCCCTTAAAACCCATGTAGTACCAAAATACAGAGTCTAAACTCTGTGATCTCATCACCACAAAAACAGGCTGTAGGGACAGCCCTTCTTCTGGCAGGAAGCTGGCTCCCCTTGGGACCACTGTAACTCTGTAATTTACGGTGGTGCCTTGGTAGTTTTCAACTCAGAAAGGACTTTCCCCCCTGCCCTTACAAAAGCAGTGTAACAAATGGGTTGCTGGAGGCAGGGAGGAGGCTGTGTGTACACAGGCTATTACAGATCTCCTTCTAAGGGTGCACTCATGTTGTGGGTCCCCTGGGCAGAAGGTCTGTCTGACAGGACATGCGGTGGGCCGTGATGGATACTCTTTTGTACTTGTCTGTTGTTGGGGTTGGGATAGAGGACAAGCCTGCTTTTTCTGTTGAGTTGAGCTTTATGGAGGGAGCTTGGCTGAAGCACTTGTAACAGCTGTGAAATGGATTCTCTCCCTGGCTGCCAGAGGCCTCTGTAAAGAGGCAGGTGATCCCTTTTATAAGTGAATAATAAGAGAAGGCCTCAGATATTTGAGCTACTGTTCACCAGGTGGTGCTGTCCTGCAGTGAATGCTTCAATACTACCAGGGAGGTTGGCAGCCTGGGGAAGGTAAAACCTGGGGTGCTCAGAGCCTTGGCAGCATTTGGGGGGGTTGCTGCTGACGTGAGATGAGGAAACATGTTACATGGGTCCATGTAAGATCATGTAGGTTTCTTCTTTATATTGTGTCTGAATGAGCTTTTACAGTCTCTAAAGTGGGGGGAAGGTTAAACTGGTCCCCTCTGCCTCCGTCCCTGCTTTCCTCCCAGAGAACAGCTCCTGTACTCCGTTCTCATCTTTGAAGTCCTGGTGGGTGAGGGGAGCGTGTCTTCTAGAGCTCCTCATTAAACAGAACTTAAAGGGGAGAAGAGGCCTCCACCCAGCCTTTGCATGCACAAACCCATTATATGCCCGTGCCCTGCCAACCAAGGTGGTTTTGTTGGCCCAAACGTGACTCCACACGATTCCGTCCTTTTTGGCAGTGAAGCCAGCAGCATTGCTGTGAGGGGACTGATTTGGGCGAGAGCCTGGTTTTCGGTGTGTTTGAGCAGGGATAGCACTCATGAAAAAAAGAACATTTTCCAGGATTGGCATAGCAGTAAAAAGAGTATTTCCCAGGGAAGTGAACTCTGAGTCAGTCATGGGAAAACTTTGGTTGGAATCCTTCAGTCAACAAAGGTGCATGAAGCATCTGCCTCTACTTGTGATAAGAGCAGAAGGGGTGCAGGGGGACGGCAGGTAAGAACAGCCCTTGAGAAACTGGGAGGAGGGGAGTCGAGGCAGAAGAAGGAGGCAAGTGCTAGGAGAGCGCAGGCACCAGCAGGTGCTCCGAGTGCAGCGGAAGGAGGGTGAGAGCCCGTGGGGGCGGGGCGGGCAGGTGATATTTGAGCTGTGCTTGCAGGATGACTAATTTCCAGAGTGGGAGAGAGGTGTTTCAGGATGCGGGAGCAAAGGTGTGAAATTGGGCGGTGTGTTCAGAAATGGTGAGCTGTGCAGAGAGCTGGGACCTGGAGGACTGAGGCAGGAAATTCAGAACGAGGTGCCCTGGAAGACTCCAGCACCCTACAGGCTTTACCGAGGTTCAGGACTTGCTGTCTCAAACTTTTGAAACATTTCATTGGGTATTGAGCTCTGCAAACCTATTAGCAACAATTAAAGAGAAAATCTAAGAAAGCAGAGGTAATCAGACACTTCCTGAACCTTGCTCAAGACTAGAGCTTTCAGCAAATGTCCCTAGTAAGCTGGGACAGAGGGAAGCAGAAGGGGTTAGGTCGCTTGGGTTTACTGACCGGTCACTCTGCTTTTCTCTGGGTAAAGAGTGTGTGTGTGCCGAAGCCTGTTTCTTTGGCTTTGCTGGGAGTTTCATGGTGGTCATAGCTGGCCTTATAAACTCTGTGCTTGGCTCATAGGTTGAGTGCTGAGCATGTTTTCTTTTTTCCAGGTTTCATTCCAGCTTTCTGTGGTCAGCTTCTCCGGAGGAACTTTCCAGGTGCCTCCTGAGACAGCTTCTCACTGTTACAAGCAAGTGGAGTCTGGGGTGAGGCCAGGTGAGTGGGCCGTGGGTGAAATCTAGGGAGAATCCATACTCTGATGGGCCAAGTTTTCCAAGATGTTATTTTCTGAAAATTTTGAGGGCCTTGGAAGTGGGTTTTTGGTCAAATGATTTAATGGTTGTTTTTTCCCTAAAATCACTCTTTAAAAGGGTGCTTTAATATAATAACTGTCAAAAATTTAGATACTTGGGATTTTTCTCAAAACTTCTCTAATTTTTTCTACCCATTTCAGAGAGTTTTTTCCACAGAAAACTGAGTACATGTTGAACCAGTAGTTTCAAAGCTTCACTGTCGGTTTTTACTTAAATGTATAACTGATAACTGGCTGTCTGTTCTTTATCATTGTCATTTTCCTGTCCCCCTTGAAAGTCTTGGTAAAGTTTAATTACAAACCTTCTTTAGCTACTAGGAGACAAGTAAGGGAATGTTTCCAACCTACCTTACCTGACTTTTTCCTGGGTTGACTTTTCAGGGTCACACCGAGTCCAGCTGGCTTTGGTTTTCGCTCCCTTCTGCCTTGTTAACTTATTTTGAGCTGCATGGTTCCCCTCCCCCAGCTTTCTAGGAGGATTTTCTAGGTGTGAGGCTTTAGGTATTTTAGGAAAGTTGTTAAACTCTTACACTATGGTTTTCCTGTATCGCAGTCTTAGGTACACGTTGTACAACAAAACACCTACTTCAAGGAGTTTGGTTGAGGCTAGAGGCTCCTGATGGATAACATTTTTGTTTCATTTTATTTGCATTTTCTACCTCAAACGGGTAACTTGTAGTAGGACTCAAATGTGATCTTTTTAAGAAGAGCGGGAATTATCTGGGAACGAGCCTCCAATCTGCTCTAACTGAGCACAGCCTGGATTACTCTGTTTATGCTTAGATGCTCACAGCTGAAGCTGTGGCTCAGAAGCCCCAGGAGTTCTGAGCAGATTGGTTGAGTGGGGCTTCGGGGACTCTGCCCTGGATCTCTCCTCTCTGGTGCGTGTTCCTCCATAGGGGATGGGGGTCAAGATTAAAGCTACTTCCAAACCTCTGTGAATTCTTGAAAGGTCCATGTGACATGCATGTGCCAACTGGCCTGTGTGGCTTGCTAGCAGGATTTCATAGTTTGCACTCTCACCCGTCTTGCTCATCCATGAAGAACAGAGTGGCCACATTGCCTCCCCAAAACTTTGGGAGCTTTTCCAAGGGCAGAGTTTAACAGGAGCACAACAGAGGATTGCACACCAGAATCTCCCATGAAGCTTTTAAAATTGGGATACTGGGGCTTACCCTAAGTGTGTCAAACTGGATTTCAGGGATGGGGAGTGTAAAGGCCAGGAACTGGCCACAGTGCAGGTTTTCTGATCCCATGCAGACCAGGTAAAGGAGGAGTCAGAGTCCTCAGTAGTTTTGCAGGTTTTTTATTTGGGGTTCACCAGGCATATGGCAGGCAGGGGTGCTGGCTCGGGGCTGGGAGGCCTGCCAAGCAAGTCTTCACTCTATCTGGGCTCTCTGGCGTTCGTTCTGCTGCTTCTCGGCTTTCGACTTCTGCTTCGGCTTGTACTGCTGCTGCTACTGGTGTCCCCGTGACGCCGCCCTTAAAAAGCACAGTCTCAGCTCAGCTGAATCCCATCTACCTATGCCCACACCCTATTCCAGGTGCCCGCCATCAGGCATGCATTCAGGACAAGGATCCATCATCTATCCTGATGGCGGGAGGGCAGAAAAGCCTGACATTTTCTTTACCCTACAGGGAGGGAGTCCCTACTGTGTATATGTTTTGAAAACCCCTCAGGAGACAATGGTATGTAACTTCTTTAAAAATATTTGTGTGTGGAGTACTTAAAAACAAAAAACTCTTTCTTAGTCTGAGCAGATGTTTGGGGGAATTATTTTTGAAGTCTACTAACGAGTTTAACCAGTTTATACTGCCAAGTGAAACATTCCCTTGTGCCATAATTTGCATCATAGAACGATTTTATAACTTAAAGTTGCCTGGGACAACACAATCTATGGTTTTAAGTGCACAAGGGAGTAGGAAAGTGACATTGAAGAACAATTTACTAAGCTTTAGGAAAGTTGAGGCTACTTTAGAAATCCAGGTGGGAATCTGAAATGGAGTTTTACCTAAGTATGCAGAGATTTGCATATTGAAACTGAAGGCTTTTGACCTGTGGTAACACATTTCTCAAAGTTTCTTGGAAAAATAGCAGTTTAAGTGTATTGTCCATAGAGATTCACTGAATGGGAAATTTATTAAGTCATACATTTTTTTCTCCTTTTTTGTGTGTGACAGAATTTGCTAATATCTTTTCATCTTCCCCAGACCAACTTTAGCAAGTAGATAGGAGTTTAGTATCATAGATCATGTTGAATAGATTTTGTGGTTTGTGACTGTGTCCCTTTAAAAATTCCCTGTCTAGAAAGAAAACCTTGCAACAGTCATTACTTGATGTTTTCATAGCTCTATGAGTTTCATGGAGAATTTCTATTTTGAAACCAAGGAATCTTGCTATCTAGGAGGGACCTTCCAGATGACCTGTCATCTGGCTTCCATCACCTCACTGCCACAGAAACTGCTCTTTGTAATGTCACAAGTGGCCTCTGATAGGACTCTCAGCACTTGATACTTCTGACTGCTCCTCATTTAGAACTCTCCCTGGGTTCCTTTGCTGTTTTCCTTTTTCTGTCGTCCTGGATCTTGCTGTGTCTGCCCATACATGTTCATATTCTCTAGGTTGTCATCTTTGCTGGTTTTCTTTTAGGGGGCTCAGCCTCTATGAAGGACCTCAGTACTTCATGGATTTATCCACCACCCACAAATTAATGATCCCCTAGTTCACTCTCATCTCAAACAATCTTTTGGACATTTCTACTTGGATGAGTCATAAGTTCTTTTAACTCAGGATATCCAAACTGAACTCATTTCCCCACTAATGATTTCCTGTTTCCTGTAACCCCAACCCCCATCCAATTCCAAAAAGCCCCTCACCCCTGTGCTTTCTCACTGGTCATTGGCAATATTCACACCAGAAATGTGTGACTCATCTTCACCCTGCCTCCACTTGGTCTGTATTTTAATTGACAATTCTTATCCTTTTGATATCCTACATAAAAAAGGAAAAGGCTATTCCACTGACATTTAATTATTATAGGCTTGAAAGTTGTAGTTGGGCATGTGTTAACAGATAAAACATGAGATAGTCACAGATGTTTATGTAACACATTCCATGGTAGACATGGGATCTTGTATAATTTTTAAATTTCACAACCATTCTGTGGTATCTCATCTCTGTTACAAGTAAGGAATCTAAGGCTCAGAGAGATTAAGTTACAGACCCAGGGTCCCAGGCAAGTGAAACATGGTGGATTCGGATTTGGGGATTTTAAATTTAGGGTTTGATCTGTCTGACGCCAGCCCTTCATGATGTCACTGCCATATTTTGTTTCCATAGTGCTGCATTAGATTTCTGGTGAGTAGCTGACTTTGTTGAGGGCAGAAATTGGCTCTTATTCATATTAGTGTCTGTTATAACAAAGTTGACTCTTGATCAACTTGGTGATTAGGGGTTACAAATAGCACATATCCCCCTCCTACCCCTGTCAAAAGTTTGCATATGACATGGTTGGACCTCAGAATTTGAGGTTCTGCAACTGCAGATTGAAATAACTGACATCCATAGCTGGTTGAATCTGTGAATAGGAAACCCTTGATTAAAAAATATCCATGTGTGAGTAGACCTAACCAGTTCAAACCTGTGTTGTTCCAGGATCAACTGCATATATTTTTAACAGGTGCTGAAGACAAGATTTGTGGTGGGAAATCCATGGTCCTTATCTTCTGTGGCTTCATCTCGGTTCACCCCCTAGCTCTTCCCTTTGCTGGGTATTAACTGCATGGCTTGAGTTTGGGAGGATGAAGCCATGCTATTTATCCTCAGAGGGTCAGATGGAACACATGAGGGAAAGTGCATGAAAACTTGGGGGCATTTTAAAGACATTTTATTTAGTTGTGAAAGTCGATAATTGGCTGACTCAGATGAGTCTCTCTTCTTTGTTTATAAATGACAGCATGAAGATGTGAACTCTTCTGGATCCCTGATGATCATGATGGTTGAATTATTTATGTGCCTGCAATAATAAAGGCAGAAAAGGCTCTTTTAAGTAAAGATTTGATTAATATAGTCCATATAGTTCTGGTTTTTAAGTTAAGATAGTATGTATAGATCTAATTCTGGAATACAAGGATGGGATCTGTACAACTCAGATTGTACATATTTAGGTGTAGGCAGATGAATTAAAGTAAAGTTTACTGAAATTTGCTCTATTCTTTTAAAGTAGTCTTGGGAGGAAGGATTTGAATGTTTTGTGTTATAACAAAGCTGACTGTAAATCATGGCACAGATGGTTCTGCATTGTTTCCTCATAGGTCTCTCTGCCCTGTGATGAGATAGAAATGCTTTTAAATTTTCCTGCCTAGTTTTTCTATCATATTTTGGCAACTAAAGCTTGTCCAAGGAAAGGTTTCTTTTTAAATATAGGCAACCTATATTTAAAATTTTTCATTGTGGATTTTAGGAACCATTTAGCTTTTCTAAGTTCCAGGTGTGTGTTTTAAAGACTAGCCCTGCAAATTTGGGATAAAAGCATGTATTTTGCAAGGTTTTAACTGCAATGTGACAAAAATAATGTATATAAAGCATTGTAACTGGTCCTTGGTAAGGGGTAGCTGTCCAAACTTAGTTATTATAGACTTGCATTTTTAGATCTAAAAAGGCCTAAACTGGTTCATGAAGAGAAGATTCAGGAAGAATTCATGTCAGTGAGATAGAAATGGAGAGAACCAGAGTTGAAAGCAGTGGTTCTTAGGAGTGTGGACCCTGAGGTGTGGCATTTCATTAATTGGGAGCCATTAAAATGCATCTCTTCATCCCAGACCTAAAAATCTGACTCTGGGATGAAGAAATTTGATATATCAAGCCCCTACAGGTGATTCTGGTGCTCTTTGACTTTAAGTT